TCTGTGGCTACTGACAGTTTAGGTAAACAAAACAGTGCAGACCTATCAATGGCTTACCTGGCTAGGCCCACAGCCCCCTCTGAGAACCACTATTCTATAGGAATCTTGAAACTTTACTGGTACAGTGTCATTCCTGGGACACCTACTTTTGTGTCTAGTGCTTAGGCCTGATTTGGGTAAGCTGAAATATAGTTCTCAGCCTCTATGCCTTGCATTATACCTTTTGTATAGCTATCACATTAAATGAACTAGGGAAATAACCTAGATGGGACTACGGTGAGATAGGTGCATAACTGGCTAGATAACTGCTCTCAGAGTAGTTCTTAATAGTTCACAATCATGCTGAAAGGGCATAACAAGTGAGATTCCACAGGGATCAGTTTTGGGACCAGTTCTGTTCAATAGCTTCATCAGCAATTTAGATTTGGCATAGGGAGTACGATTATTAAGTTTGCAGATGACCCCACGCTAAGGGAGGTTGCAAGTGCTTTGGAGGATAAGGTCATAATTCAGAATGATCTGAACAAACTAGAGAAATGGTCTAAGGTAAATAGGATGAAGTTTAATAAGGGCAAATGCCAAGTACTCTACTTAAGAAGGAACAATCAGTTTCATGCATACAGAATGGGAAGTGACTGTCTAGGAAGGAGTACTGCAGAAAGGGATGTAGGTGTCATAGCGGACCACAATCTAAACAAGTCAACAATGTGACACTTGTGTAAAAAAAAAAAAAAAAAGTAAATGTAATTCTGGGATGTATTAGCAGGTGTGTTGTGAGCAAGACACGAGAAGTACTTCCCCACTACTCTCTGCTGATTAGGCCTCAATTGGAGTATTGGGTTCAATTCTACGTAACATATTTCAAGAAAGATGTGGAGAAATTGGAGAGAGCCTGGAGAAGAGCAACAAAAATGATTAAAGGTGAAGAAAGCAGGCCTAGGAAGGAAGACAAAGAACTGGTTTTGTTTAGTTTAGAAAAGAGAAGACTGAGAGGGGACATAATAGCAGTTTTCAAGTATCTAAAAGGGTGTTACAAGAAGAAGAAAAAATGTCCTCTTTGACCTCTCATAATAGGACAAGAAACAATAGGCTTAAATTTCCGCAAGAGAGATTTATGGTGGACATTAGGGAAAACGTCCTAACTGTCAGGGTAGTAAAATACTGGAATAAATTGCCTGGCGAGATTGTGGAATCTCCATGATTAGAGATATTTAAGAGCAGGTTAGATCGACATCTACCAGGAATGATTCTAGATGGTGCTTGGTCCTTTCATGAGAGCAGGAGACTGGATGTAATGACCTCTCAGGGTCTCTTCCATTTCTAGTATTCTGTGATTCTGTAATCAATATGATTAATAATGCAATAAACCCTCTATTAAAAGTTTAAGTAAAATAATTTTGTAGAAGTCCCTTTCCCTCTTTTGATGGAGAGAATATTATGGAAAAATAACCCCATCTGAGAAATGTTAATACACAAATTCTAGAATTCAATACAAACATAACTTACTTACATATATAAGTTTTATCTTTTCCTTGGGGGCTGGCTGTTTCTTTGTCCGGAGGCTTGGGTAGTTTCTATGGGCTGTTGATGACATATAACACATATGGAGGTTCTGGTGCTTGATGTGATCTTATGCTATGCATTTCTTCATAAAGCTCCTATCTACAGCACTATGGGTGCTATTGGTGAACTAAGTGTGACTAGAAGGGGAATTGGAATAGGATAGACTGAATGTGGCTGATTCCTTGGCATTTCTTGACTTAATGTCCTAATCTTTGATTCCATGTAACATAAGGCATAAATAACACACACATAAGAATACTATGAAGAATAATCCATCCTCTCCAACCACTTTCCATCACTACATGGGTATCAATACTTCATCTGTTCCACCAAATCTTTTTTCAGGGTTTTTTCTGCTTGATCCATGATATTACTATAACATAAGAATGGCCATGCTGGGTCATACCAAAGGTCCATCTAGTCTAGTATCCTGTCTTCTGACAATGGCCAATGCCAGATACCCCAGAGGGAGTGAACAAAACAGGGAATCAAAAAGTGATCCCTTTCCTGTCACCCATTTCTAGCCTCTGACTGAGGCTACGGACACCATTTCTACCTATCCTGGGTAGTAGCCATTGATGGACCTAATCTCCATGAATTTATCTAGTTCTTTCTTGAACCCAGTTAGTCCTGGTCTTCATAACCTCCTCTGGCAAGGAGTTCCACAGGCTGACTCTGCGCTGTGTGAAGAAAACCTTCCTTTTGTTTGTTTTAAACCTGCTGCTTATTAATTTCATATGGTGACCCATAGTTCTTAGGTGCTTACTTGTTCTATGGGAACAAGTAAATAACTTTTCCTTCTTCACTTTCTCCATACTTGTCATGATTTTATAGACCTCTATCATATCCCGGCTTAGTCTCCTCTTTTCTGAGCTGAACAGTCCCAGTCTTTTTAATCTCTTCTCATATGGGACTCATTCTAAACCCCTAACCATTTTTGTTGCCCTTTTCTGAAACTTTTCCAATGCCAGTTTCAATTTAATATGAATTTTTTCTTTGTATGTATAGTTTCCTGAAACTTCTTTGTCCCTGATCATAAAAACCATTAGTCAGGTTCAGGTTAGGCTTTTAAATCTTTCTCTCCATCATGTTTGCTTTGTCAATATTTCTGTGGCTCCAGAGAAGTAAAAATGCTAGGACACAAATTACTGAATTACTATATAAGAGTGTAGTACGAGCAAACATTGCTCAACATCAAACCCTTTTATGTGGTACAGGGTCAGGTATTGATTATATAACAGACAATTTTTAAAGTGCATGAAGGAAAGTTTAGAAAAATCTTTGGGGTCTGATTTTCAAAGTGTGTAGGACGACAAGTCCTACCGGAAGGCAAAGGTAAAATCACACTCTTGTGGAAAAACATCAATAACAGGATAAGATGATGCATTTTCTTCTCATAAAGTCCAGTGAGTTTCCTATTCTGTAAGGGTAAGTTAGGTCAATCAAACTTCATGCTGTTGCACCATGACCATATCAAACATTTACCAAGTTTGCATAAATGTTGCTGTTAAAGATTTTCTTGTTTGTTTGTGACAGCTAAATAAATTTACAGAACTTTGATATCTGCCAGCAATATAGTTAGCTACAAGGGCAAAGCTTTCAAAAGCATCTAAGTTATTATTGGCTCTTAGAAGCCATTGGAACCTCGATTCTTTTATTCATCCTACAGGCATCTTATACACTTTGCTGCAGTCCTCTTTTGGTTGGTGCAGTAGAGATTAGATCAAATTCCTTTCTAACTGGCAGACATTGTCTGGGTGCAGTATAACCAGTTATGAAGGGCTTACCACCTCTGCAGTGCGCCAATTCTTTGTTGGGGTTCGACTTATGGCTAAATTATTACTATATAGAGTGAGATATAAATGCGAATTGTTGGTTCAAGGTGCTCTATTCTATTTGTCAATCACTTCTGTACTTCTCATTGATAAATCACCAAGAATTGTTTTTCAGTTAAGTTCTTAGCTAGTTATTTTGACACCCTAGGAAATACATGAGCAGGAGAGGGTAATTGTGTTGTGTTAAAGTGATCCAAGTGTGTTAATGTGTGCTTTATCAACAGCGGTTTTACAAGATCTTCATTGCTTCCTCATTGGTCAAGCTCCCTTTATTTTGCTTGTTGGACACATACTTACAATAACTTCGAATTTTTTAATCTTCATTTTCATTCTCCTGTTTCTTTTAGGGCCTGATCCCACCCCAGGTCAAGCAGGAAAGCTATAACATTCTCCTTTTCTCCCTATTTAATTTCTTCCTAATGAGCCTTGCCCATTTTGAATCCAGGAGAATGGAACCCCTATTTAAATGAAGTCCATTCAATGAAAGCAGCTATTCCAAAAGGGGAAAAGGGGAGGATTCCTGACTTCCATACCCCCCAGTAAACATGGCAAGTTCCTTGAGGGAGGAGAGGAGGTAAGGGGGCAGCTTGGTACCACTTTGCCACTACCTGATCTTCTTGTGGGACAAGGATAGATTTTGGGGAGTGGGGAAGCTGGCCTGCTCCAGGAAAGATTGGGAGTGGGGGCCGCCTCCATCTGTGAGAGCTTCCCTCAGTCAAATGGAAAGTCCTTGGATTGTGACTCCACTATCCAAGTAGTGGTCCTTGCGAGGGGATTGAAGAGGACAAAGGGATTTGTGAGATTGAAGGACTTCCCCTGTACCCTCCAAGAAATGGGTGATGTCGGAATACTGGTCCTTCCCTACCCCATAGAAAATTAGTTCAGTGGGGAGGGGGGTGTCCCCCATTAAAATGGAGCAACCAGAGCAAGTTACGGCTCGAAGGGAAATGAGGTAACCCTAATTATTACTATGCCTAGGGCCCAGACTGGCCTTAATCCAGCCCTGGTCAAGCAATGAAACTTGCTCTGCTGTTGAATAAAGGCAGACTCCAGAGCTATCCCATCAGCACTAAATACTAGTGTTTTAAAGCTCAAAATAAGTGTCCAGGTTTGCAAAATAGCTCAGCGTGTTGTGCACTGCTCACTTCTGAAAGTCTGTCTATGAGCATCATAGATGGAGCATCAAGTTTGAGCACCCCTGAAAATCTGGTCCTTATTAGTTGCCTAAACAAAAGCTGAGCTCTTCTGAAAAGGAGGCCCCGAAGTTGCTAGTTAAATATTCTACAAGAAATTGGTGAAGCCTCTGCTTTCTCTGACTGGTGCAGAGTAGTGATCAGCAGATGTTACGTGCTAAACTTGGGGCAGTGGGTGGAGTTAGTGGTGGAGGAGGAGAGTCCTCTGAAAGAGCTATAAATACCAGCATGTCAGTCATGCTTGGGAGTCACTTGTCAATAGCTTGACGTGCTAAGAGAAGCAGACTGGTGAGAAAGTGGGCAGCAAAGCACCTTTCAGAAGGAACTGCTGGGATCAGTTTTAGAGGAGGAAGCAGGAATCTGTCTGTTTCATTCCTGCCGTGTGTTCTTGTC